GCGAAAAAGAAGTGCAAAATCGCAATCTCATCTTCACTAAAATAGACCAGCCATGTTAACTCAGCAGTTCCATCACTCCCACTGGATAAAGATCCATCTGCTTTCTGTATAGCTAATCCTCATCAAACTTGATCTTCTTAGCTGAAGGCTGAACGCTCCCGATCTGCATAACCAAGAAAGCATTAGCAACCAGGGAAATATTTTGTCATTACCTCACACAGAATAGGATCAGAAAAAATGGTAGAAAGGAAAAGCTAATGTAGTGATCAATTATGAACAGTTTATTCGTTACAACTTATCTCCAGAGAGTAACTGCCACATACGGCATGAAACGAAAAACAATAGAAGCACAGCTCAAAATATGGTTAAGCAAAGCCTGGGACGATCGTTGGTGCTAATACATAAATTATTTCAGTATAAGCAAATGTAGATAAGAATAAACAACCAGTACTATAAATATATCAAGGACCTGCACAGTAACACATAGCAAATTTGGCTCTAGAACACTACAATTGCATGCCTTTTGCTCCAGGTCAACAAAAAGTTGAAATTGGCCTAATATAATTACAATTCTGTGGCAAATTGCTGAGCTAGTTCAGATCTGATGAAGTAAGATAAATTTAGTAAATCAATGAACAGCATCAAGTGTTACTTACAAGGGCTGGACACTCGTAATCGATACCAGCAGCCTTGATTCTTTTGCGACACTTCTCATCCCGCTTTACAATTCCTTCAAGCATCCTCTGGTGCTCTTCTACTGTTCTATCCTGGTAACACAAAACAGCATATATTAATCTACAGCATAAATTTTTGCATTCCAGCTGTAGTTAGCAACAGATTACCTTACTAAGCCTCTTCCGTTCAATTGCTACCTGGTCAACTGGAACAAATCCCTTCCGCACACCTTTCCATCTAGAAGCGATACACGATACGGACATTTTAGATCATAAGAATTATGTTCTCATTTTAATCAAAACGCAAAAAACAGTAACTATGTTCAGCTATATGTCACAAAGCACAGGGAAAGAAAACTGTAGTGCTGTAAGAGTTACTGCAACCTCCATATAAAGTACACAAAAAGAACAAGGATTCAAGAATAAATACAGGCACACAAATGAAATGTAACACAAGAAGCTTGCAAGTTCTTGCAAGAGATTACCATCAATGCTTCAGTGCTGCACTTATCGATGCAGTGGCATATATACCAATTCATATTAATGTCACAAATCCTTGACTTCATAATTTAGTTTTGGCATTCACATGTCACTCATTATGCCTATTGGATATATTTCTAACATGACTTACAGTTTGCAAAAAGCAATCAGCAAATATTAACACCTATCTTCGTTACCCCAATGAGCTCGCATCATTACTTCCTTTCTATTTGCAAAAATGAACAGGCATAAAACGAGCTGTGCAATGCAGTGGAAACAAATAGGCTGGTAATATTAAGCAAGTGTCTGTAGCCTGTTGGGAGGGTATATCACTGTAAACAGTATTCCATGACAGAGAAACAGAAAGTAGACAGCATTTGCCCAAGAATATACAATATTGACCTCATTTAGTGGTAATTAACATGTAGTCCTAAGCAGAAGATGAAGGCTATGTTTCCGTTATCAAAAAGCAAAAATAAACAGAATTAAGCAGCAGAGTTGCAATGATTACAATTTGGCATGAACTTTCTCCAGTGGGACAGGCGCAATTTGCAGAGTGTGCTCAAACAAGAGGTAGTTATTCATCTCATCAGCTACAATCTTGGCCACCTGATATACCAAGAACATGGGAGGAACTTGTAAGCAGACAACAAACATGCAGTGTGCCCTGATAATCTGATATATCCCAACGAGCGTGCTTACCTCAGGGTTCTCAAACTCAATGAATCCATAATGCTTGGACTTTCCTGTCTAAACATACCACCAAACAGCAAGTTAGATGATCACAGAAAACAGCACACAAATCATCAGATACCTAGTAAGGCAAAATACCATACCTTGCGATTCCGGGCAATCCTGACCCTCTTAACAGCCCCGAACTGCTGAAAGAAACCTGCAGAATCAACCAAACCAACAAAGACGGCATCAAAACCAGACCCCTCCTGCACTTCTCTAATCTATACTGAGAGAAACGGACCTTGCATCTGGTCCTCGAGCCGTGGGGGATGTGGCCGATGTAGAGGACGGTGGCCGTGTTCTCCGGCTCCTCGGCCTGCTTCTTCTCCCGGATCCTCTGCTCTTTCCCCTCCAGCGGCTGCGCCAATCACAACACAGCGTCAGGGACAGCGACCAAAAAGCGTGTGTCTTTTCTCTCTTGGGTCCGATTTGGTTCGAAGGGGAGCAAAGCACGCACCAGGAAATCCTTGCCCTCGCCGGTCCGGGGGCCGGCCGAGCGCCGCGAGAGCACCCGCCTCTGGTTCCTCTTCTTGTCCCTCAACCCCATCTCGCTCAAGCCTCGACGTAGGTTCTAGACGAGGCCTGGCTGTGGCGTGGATGGGTGGAGGTGGGGGACGGAATCAAGGCCGCTTGCTCTGGCCGTGGACGACGGACGGCGACGATTCGAGCGGGAGGACGGGGAGCAGGGAGCGCTGGGAGCGCGCGACTGCTGGCGGCTAGGGTACGTAGCGCAGGGATTGGGGAACTGAGGGAAGGGAGGCTGTGTTTACTCTGGTGGGCTGGGCTAAAACCAAAGGG